GGCGTGTTGTAAAGCAGGTGGAAGAGCTGGGGCGTCAGGTATGTCTGCGGGCAGACATGGTGGAAGAAATTGGCGAAGATGAGCGACTGCTAGTGGATAGATAAATGCTGGCAAGCCAACTGTTAAAAAGACGCCGCCGCCGCCGCCGCCTAACTGAAGCTGTATTAGCACGGACCATTAGAGCAGCTGACACCCAGCCTTCCCCCCATTCTAATATCCAGGCAGGGGGCAAGGAAAAACTACCACCTCAGAGCACATCTATGCGTATTTACACATCCTTCAAGTGTTCCACCTTTGCGGTGGGCAGACTATGTTCATGGCAGGAGCCGGCGTTTGTCCAAACGAGCATCTCCCAGCAGGACAGATTTGGAAAGGGTCAAATAAAAACCATAAAGAGCTAGATCCTCGCGCTCTCACGTGGTAGACGCCGCAGAACACCGTGTACGTAGACCAGAGGGTCTTTCAGAGTAATTTACAAGGTGCCAGCCATCAAACTATGCAAAAACTGCTTGGGCAGCGCTTCATGGCTAGGGCAGAGGCGGCTGCAATCAGGCTAGAGGAGCGGACCGGTGCTATGCTCCCAGAATGATTTGCTACAGGTTGCGCCCCCCAAAGTTGGCATGGGTCAAAGCCACTAATCCAGCCAACCACCAACCCGGTTGCACATCCGCGCGCACGCACGCCCGCCCGCCCGCCCCCACGTAATAACCTTCGCCGCCGCCGTCACCCACCTTCTCGCTGACTCTGACTGCAATTCTGGTCTTTCACTCTCCCCTCCCCTCCCCTCCCCTCCCCCCCTTCCAATCACCACGTACAGCTTAATTATCCACGTGCCCCCCCCTATCGCCTTTTCATTCATTACATCTTCAATAGTAGCCATACAGGCCTAAAGAAGAGAATTTATCCAGGGCAGACCTATGCTCGCCAAATTGCCTCTGGAATCCTACAATGGCAAATTTGCAACTCTAACACAGCCCAAATATGACGCGGTGTTCTTGAAGGCACTCAATGCGGGTACCTAGGGTTCAGCAGCAGCAGCAGCAGCAGCAGCAGCAGCAGCAGCAGCAGCAGCAGCAGCAGCAGCAGCAGCAGCAGCAGCAGCAGCAGCAGCAGCAGCAGCAGCAGCAGCAGCAGCAGCAGCAGCAGCACCAGCAGCAGCAGCAGCAGCAGCAGCAGCAGCACCAGCAAGCTTGTGCAGGCGAAAGTACAAGTCCGGTTGTTTATTAAGGGATGCCTCCTCCTGGAGGGAATGATGAGTACCCCATCTCCTACTGGAGATGAAGAATGCGACGGAGTGAGTCGTAGGGTTATCACCACCTCCTGTGATAGGCCTGTGAGAAGATAGGCCGAAAATGAAGTAGAGAGCAGGCGTGTTGTAAAGCAGGTGGAAGAGCTGGGGCGTCAAGTATGTCTGCGGGCAGCCATGGTGGAAGAAATTGGCGAAGACGAGCGACTTGTAGTGGATAGATAAATGCTGGCAAGCCAACTGTTAAAAAGACGCCGCCGCCGCCGCCGCCGCCGCCGCCTATCTGAAGCTGTATTAGCACGGAGCATTAGAGCAGCTGACAACACCCAGCATTATCCGCATTCTACTATCCAGGGAGGGGGCAAGGAAAAACTACCAGCTCAGAGCACATCTATGCGTATTTACACATCCATCAAGTGTTCCACGCGTGCGGTGGGCAGAATATATTGATGGCAGGAGCCGGTGTTTATCCAAAAGTGCATCTCCCAGCAGGACAGATTTGGAAAGTGTCACATAAAAACCATAAAGAGCTAGATCCTCGCGCTCTCACGTGGTAGACGCCGCAGACCGCCGTGTACGTAGACCAGAGGGTCCTTCAGAGTAATTTACAAGGTGCCAGCCATCAAACTATGCAAAAACTGCTTGGGCAGCGCTTCTTGGCTACAGCAGAGGCGGCTGCAATCAGGCTACGCGGAGCGGACCGGTCCTATGCGCCCAGAAGTATTTCCCACAGGTTGCGCCCACACTTTGCATGGGTCAAAGCCACTAATCCAACCAACCACCAACCCGGTTGCACATTCGCGCGCACGCACGCCGCACGCCCGCCCGCCCGCCCCCACGTAATAACCTTCGCCGCCGCCGTCACCCACCTTCTCGCTGACTCTGACTGCAATTCTGGTCTTTCGCTCTCCCCCTCCCCTCCCCTCCCCTCCCCCTTCCAATCAACACGTACAGCTTAAATATCCACGGGGCCCCCCCTATCGCCTTTTCATTCATTACATCTTCAATAGTAGCCATACAGGCCCAAAAGAGAATTTATCCATGGCCGAACCAATGCTCGCCCTGTGCGGTGTGCAGAATATATTGATGTCAGGAGCCGGCGTTTTTCGAAAGAAACTTCTCCCAGAAGCCAAGTTTGGAAAGGGTCAAATAAGGAATATATATTGCTAGATCCTCGTGCGCTCTCGTGGTAGACGCAGACCAGAGGGTCCTTCAGAGTAAATTACAAGGTGCCGTCAAACTATCCAAAAACTGCTTGGGCAGAGCTTCTAGGCTACGTCAGATGCGGCTGCAATTAGCCTACACTGAGCGGGTAACCATTGGGAGATTGCACCTGACAATCCTATCAACCAAGAAATAATACCTACTCTATCTTTTTGAGTAGGTTATAGCCCTGCATATTTGTTGTGTCATCTGTGTTTGCCAATCACCAGCGACAACTCTTGAGGTTACGAGCGACAGCACTGGTTCGTATGTAGCTTAATCAATGGCGGCCTATTTGCTTAACGCTTGCTGTAGGCCATGCCCGCTATTACCTACATTGTGATAGGTTTCCATACCCGTATTACGACCGTGGCAATCGGTCTGACCTTCAGTCCACTTGCTGACTGACTTCGATTATCAAAACCTACACTTACACAGCCGCTACACATGGACACAGTCGGAGCGTTGGCATTGACAATAGGGGAGCACTCAAGCGTTCAATCACAGGAAACGCCAAACCACAAAACCAAGACCTACACAGTAGCTATAGAGAGTTGCGAAGCCATCGTCTTAGACCCTACCATCCTTTTGCAACGAATGGGAGTTAACTTTAGGACAGTTGGGATAAGATCGCAGTGGATCAAGTGTAGAGCACACGATATGCTTCTATTGCGGATGTGCGAGCACAGCAGTCGATATGTGTCGTCGTACATACTGGCATTCCTTTGGCGCAGTCAGAGAGCAACCATTGCAGACTAAACAACTGCTTAACATCCATGCTGGAGGCTATTACGGCCGACGAGTGCCACCATTAGAACTTTTTCGGCTTATTCAGCCATAACATACTACGGTTTAGTCGTAACAGGCTCACTGTGCATACCTTACGATTGTAGTGGAACAATCGCCATAGACCGACCACACTTTTGATAACATTGTCATCAGCATCCACATTTGAGGCATCGGTCTAGACAATTTGATGGCACGCGTTCCTGAACTTCGCAGGCTTCAATGAAAACTGCGGTCAGCATTCAACGGAGTCTGGTCATATTCCCCGCTTTCAACAGTGGCCTCATTTGTTGCCGGCATACTTGCACGCACTACTTGGACTTTCCACGACCGCCTACCATGGGCTGGCCGACGTTCTCATTATGTCTGGGAGTGCACGCGCAGAGGCCCTGTCAGCATGACTTTCTTCTTCACTTTCACCGCCCCGAGAACGCGGCGCTGTAAACTCATTTTATTGCAACCCCCCCCCACACGGAAATCTTTAGTAAACGACTTTGACAGGTTTCAGCCAGGTAGGTGGTCCACCTACTTAGCCAATACGTCCTCATCCCCTTCGCGCTCGTACCCGTACCCAAGTCGGTTGAACAGGCATAGGATCGGTATCAGTATCAAAGTTTGTCTAAATTCATTTTTCATATTAAAAAGGAAAGGCTTCAGCTATATGCGACAAAAAGAGTTCCCGGGCATCTTTCAGACACATGGCGTTAATGCCACATTCGCCAACGCGAATTCCTTTCAAAAACCAGAGGACAATCTTCACGATAGTCGTTCACGTTAACCGACTATTTTCAAATATACTTCCCGCTCTTACGGATTTCCTCTTCCGGCATCGAGGACATCGAAAAGCAACACCGTCCGAATACCGACTGCGTCCTTCCAGTCTCATCCACTGCCGGCACTTGCACATCATCTGCATAGGCAACACTGTTCTCCGCTGGCATCTTTCGATCACAATTTCCGATTTAATAGCATCCAATATTTGCTCCGTTTGGCTTTGATGGGTTATGATAGTTCGCGGTTTCCGTTTGTTGCTTGCGTCTACCGATCTACAAAACAAAAAGTAGATTTACTTTTCTTAAAAGTATCCTTAAGCATATTCCTTGCTATGGGAACATACTCTAAGCATGTATTAAATTTAGGACATACTATTCCATCGTTGGTTATTTATCCAAAACACATTAGCATTTGCCTACCATTTACTTATTCACTTACTGTGTTATTTCGTTTCTCTCGATAAGTGCTTCACAGGTAATCAAGCGCATAGCGTTAGACGTCATGATACACACGCTCACTAACTATAACTAACGACAGACAATTCTACATGTTTACCATTCGTTACGGTTCCTTGGATGTCTGATCGCAGGCGGTAAATTGGTCCGCGGGTTGCTTAAAATGGTACATGTGTATAGTGCAGTCATATGTGTAATATTCATTTACCGCGCCTAATTCCGATGCCATACAGTGATGAAGTAAAACTATATCATTTACAGGATAATTTCATAAAAAAATTATTTGCATAATTTAAATATATCGACACATTGCGAAGGCCCACCGGTAAAAACCCTACTAACAACTATCACTTAAGAAAGGCAGCTTTGGATTGGAGGATTAATTTAGCTGCCATCTGCCAATAGCTGCGGTGGGGCTAACCGGACCTATGCGAACAGAAGAATTTCCTACAGGTTGCGCCCACAGTTGGCATGGGTAAAAGCCACTAATCCAGAGAAAAACACACACGGCCCTCCCGCATCCACGTACTAAACTTCGCAGCCGTGACCCACATTCTCGCTGACTCTGACTGCAATTCTGGTCTTTCACTCTCCCCCTCCCCTCCCCTCCCCTCCCCTCCCCCCTCCAATCCCCACGTACAGCTTCATTATCCACGTGCCCCCCCCTATCGCCTTTTCATTCATTACATCTTCAATAGTAGCCATACAGGCCTAAAGAAGAGAATTTATCCAGGCCAGACCTATGCTCGCCAAATTGTCTTTTGAATCCTACAATGGCAAATTTGCAACTCTAACACAGTCCAAATATGCCGCGGTGTTCTTGAAGGCACTCAATCTGCGTACCTACGGTTCAGCAGCAGCACCAGCATCAGCAAGCTTGTGCAGGCGAAAGTACAAGTCAGGTTGTTTATTAAGGGATGCCTCCTCCTGGAGGGAATGATGAGTACCCCATCTC